GTGCGGATACACACCAGTGAAGGTGATCGCACAAGTGACCAAGGGAACTTGGGCACTCGAGAAGAGGTTATACACCCGTAAACCAGGGATGACGGTACATGCAACAAAAGTGCATAACTGTGGGCGGGGGGAATCGTTATAGTAAAAGTTTGTGTTGTGTAGAAGCGTCTGTGAATAAAAACCCAACAGAAAAAGTTGGGAATACGAAGTGTGTGTGTTTGTGTTAGTATCACCGTATATGCCTGCACTCGCTCCCACACACAATCACATTTATACACACACAACTTACAACTGTCATCCTTTTTCACTGGGACATAAGAACAAGAGAGTTGAGACTGACGAACCGGTATCAAGACAGTGCAGGCATTCATTACCAGAGAAAACAAGAGTGAATCGAGGATATTATCACGGTCACAAAACGTTTCCCAATACGGATACGGTCATTATGTAAGTATCACTTACTGGAAAAGTTTCGTGTTGCCAGCATTGTGGTCAATATGGCTCCCTATAGGAGAAGAAATCAAAAAGATGCGGAAAATTGATGAAATGATTCTCGACGGTAAACATAAAGCTGTCTCTTGTGAAATCATGAAATACACATTACATTTATTCACCAAAATGGTGGATCGACAGTGTCGGCTACCTGTTTTGTTATCCAAAGGCTGTGATGGTCTGAAAAATTTGAAACCCACTTTGCTTTATGGGGTAGCCAAAGGGGATATGTTTTCTTCAAAACACAGAGTTGTGTAGTCAATACCATCAAACTAACAATATCGTGAATTTAGAGTGTCAAGCTTGGATTAGCCCATTCGATTGTTCAGAGGCACCAGGCACTCTTCATGGTCTTGAGAGATCGCTAATTCCCCACCAGGCAATGCATTCGAATGCGATGGAAATGCTTGTGATAAGCGACAAAGAGCAGTGGACAGCTGTTTCGTCTTGTTTGGGACTAGTCAGCAATGCGAACCTTTTGTGTCGCTACGAACATTCGGGTCGGGACCTCAAACCCTTACCTCTAAACTACGGTCATCACCTTGTGCGAATGGCTCAATCAATTTAGAATATCAAGCTTGGATTAGCAGATTCGATTGTTCAGAGGCACCAGGCTCAGGGGTAAGGGTTTGAAGTACCGACCCGAATGTTCGCCATTCGAGTCCTAACAGGGACACAAAAAATATCGTGAGTGATTCGAGAATATAAGATCGGAGTGATTGGACATCAGCTCTCAACGAGTGGGCCAGCTGCCTTGGAGATTAGATATTAGTAACCTGGCTCACCAAGATTATGGATTAGTATGCTGTACTTCGATTAGCCCATTTGAGTTGTCTTCGATGTGGGTTTCACTCCCTGGAAGTTTATTTGCTAGATCAGATATGCAATTCGTTTGCGATGAAGTCTGACTGCCAAGACGGATATCTGCAATTTGAGTCCCAACGAGGACAAAGGAAATTTAGACTGTTAACGAGCTCCAACAGGGGCGAAACACACTATCGACTGCTAATTGTGAGTCATCAGAAATAGTATAATCAATCGTATTCCAATTATTTCTTATTTTGAACGAAAAAAGGTTTGAAAATGCCTTAGGATATGTCTCAGCTATGTGTTTCGACTTTGAAGCGTTGTATGGGAGGGTATTTGCAGACGTGAAGTTTTTGATCATCGATGATCGTGCAGCTGGCTAACGATGTGATGAAATCAGTGAGGTCAAACTTCGTGTGTGAGAGAGAGTTCTGCCAACACCATATCTATCGAGTCAAATTCACCGATTAGTATGAGCACGGCACATGTTTCGTTTGACCGCATAATTTTCGGCCCTCTGACTTGACAGGCACAAA